TCGTTATGGTCCGCGAACCAATTGCCAGCGCAAGTGGTTAATACATCTAATTTTTTCAATATTAGCAATTAATGCAGTTTAAAACATATTCAAAAATAATTTTTATTCGTAATATTATTCTCGCAAATCAAAGCACTGCGAAAATCAATACAGTCTTCACAATGCGACAACGCGTGTGTTGTTTCTCGGTAGAATTTTTCGCTCCTGTTCTACCTAATTTGAATTTCTTTCCTTTTTCACGGACAACATCTTCTGCAGAATCGTCGCCTGGGAAGTTCGTACCGCGGCAGCGTACAAGCAAATTCGTGCACGCGTACGAACATCTGACGTTTGTAAGAAATGCCGCAGGGAGCCGCGCGGTATGATTTTTCGGGCATATGTTTAGCGCGGTGGATTGATATACATGTACGTAGCTAGTGGAATCGCACACGTGCGTGCACATCGCTCGAGAGAGAGTGGGATCGCGTGACGTGGTGTCATCAGTCTGGCGATGCACTCGCCGATGACGCAGGCCTAGGACGCTTCGCACCTCTGCGCGTGTCCTCCGTGTCCTCCACGTCCTCCTCCACGTTCTACACGGGGCTGGCTGCTCTATGGTATTTAACGGCGGCGCGATGCCGCGGTGACGCTTTTTTCAACGGGAAAAACGCGAGCCTTGGAAAACGAGAGATGGGCGGAGGGGATGATATGAATGAGCGCCGGAGGACTATGTGAATCGCGCGGAACGGAGGAAATTCGAACGGAGTGGCGTGGCATTTACGTTCGAGTAGACGGGCAAATTTTTGTAATAAGGACAGACGCGTCGAGGGAAATACCACTTTTTTCCTTTTTTTTCTTTTTTTCTCCCTTTCGTCTCTCTCCTTTTTATAATAGAACGTGTGTCCTATTTTGAATATTCTTTCTGGAAAATGGGCGGATCAAGTCGTGCGTGTCCAAAATTTCGACTTGTGTTCTTACTGCACGAATGAATTTCACGTGTGACAAATTAATTAAATATGAACAGGAACGTTCGAACTCGTTAAACCAGAATGATACATACGGTTAGAGTGTCTAAACCAGGGGAAGTTTCCAGGGAAAACGAAACTAGACGGGCGACCCGAGAACAAGCTACCGTTTTCGTTTTATAACGTTAATGGAAGCCGGACAGGGCCGACCCGGCGGCCGGTGGGTTTAAAATTATAATGAATCGTTGTCCTCGCTCTGTTCCAGCTTAATCGCTTGTCGTTTAACCCTTTTACATCATCTAGAAACGAAATACCTACTCGCGATTTAACGTCACGCTCGGGATATATACGGTTGTTAATCACAAGTATTCGGGATCACAAGTGCCATTTCATAAAATCTGGCAGGCTGCATGTATCTAATTTAAATTTTACCCTTTCGATACGACTTCATCTTCGGTCATTATACCTTCGTTTAACTCTTCGCCCTCGGAAACGTTTCTTCTATCATCTACCAGCAATTTATTTACGAAACAGCGAATGATGTACAAACTTTGAACAAAATGGTACAGTGTTGGAGATAACCATTCTACTCAAATAGTATTTAACATGAAATTTTTGTTCTTCGTTTAAAGCAAGTGCAGTGTAAAAGTTCGTGATACATATTTTCAATCACTTGAAGAATTTCCTTCGCCGTTTCATAAACTTTCGTAGGAAGCAACAAAGAGTTTAGTTTGCGTTCCCGAATTATTCGAATAATAATTCGACTGCGCGACTCTATCCTCAAGAAGAACTTCTTTTATTGAAATTTTATTATACCTCTTACGTCATAGAACATCTTACCTACGTTATAATTATCAGCAATTATGAAAAATTTTATAACTTTGGCTGTTAGTTGGCTAAATTTAGGTTTAGTTTAGAATAGAAAGTTAATGTTGGTTAATTAAATTTTGAGGGAAGAAATCATACTTTAATGATTACAGTGACAATGCTTTGTAATAATTGTCTAATAATGTAATTTCGCAATATTAGAAGTATGCATAAATCTATGCGTCGGAATTTGACAATAGTCAATCACTTTCTCGTCGTCTGCCATTTTTGAAACAAGCAACGCACTTTCTTATGCGATTTTTCGATCACTATTACTGATACGAATCGAGGAGGAATGCCCGAGAGGATTTTCATCCGAAGACTTGGTAACAATTTTAACAAAACTGTCTTTCGCGATCACTTTTGTTAAATTCGTCTTATTACACAGTTAGATAAGAAGAGTCGAAATGTTTCTGTTTGCTTCGAGTTTGTATGAACAATATGAATCCTTGATACAGCTAACGTGTGAAAGAAAACCACTTTTTGATGGTTTTCCTTGTAGATTCGATGCCATTTGTGTTCACTTTCGTCAACCGCGAGCTGATGCAAATTTTTTTATGGACGACGTTACTATCGTTATTACCACACGTTAAGCTCTCTGCTTCGAGTACGATTTCTCCGCGTCGGATAAACGAAAGAAAGAAATCGTTATCGTGTCGGGCAGCGACACGATGTTATCGAGATCTTTCCAGCGCGCAGTTCGAAGGACTGGGAAACGGTTGAAAGCGACGAGAACACCGCGATTGTCGGACTGGAATCGAGTCGAGAACGGATCGAAGATGCCAGCTGACTCGTTCCTGACGGTGGAACGGCCCCGCATTGTCGACGAGATTATTGCCCGAGCCGTCGATGAAATTGTACCGTTCACTCGACTCTGTCGAGCACCGCTCTTCGAGAGCACGAGGATCGCGGCTCGACCCTCGTCATCTCTCTCGTTCTCTCTCTCTCTCATGCACACACTTTTAACCTACCCCGTTTCGACCAACGAGATTTCCAACGTTGTTGCGACGAGTCGACGTACTTGGAAAAACGCGTTTGGAATATCGACCGATTCTCCAGACGCGCGAATAAGGGAGAGCCGCTTAATGTAAACACGAAACCGACGATTGGAGAGAGGGTCGTGGAACGCGTAATGGGTTTCATTAAAACCACGGGGACATTCTTCGGGAGAACTCGACGCGCGGCACGGGAGGCAGAGATCGAGAATTGCTCGTTACGATTCTCTAATGCAGAGGCGGCGGCGAACTTCTTCTTCGAACCGTCTCGCGGACAAAACGAGCTGCTCACTCGCTCAATCAGTCTGCCGATTGGGCCACGCAAACTCATCTTCCTTTAATTTTAGCAGCTACGATGAAAAGAAAAAAAAAAATAATTCATATTGTGTATACGTATATACCTAACGCGAGTACTGTGGCCGCGACACTCTCAACTGGCAGTGGAGGGGATAACGATCGGAAAAGTGGGGGCAAGGGCCGCCAGTTAGCCACCTCTGGCTCCAACGAAATTCCCTCACGACGAATAACGCGAAAGTTTTACACTGCGAAATTTGAACCACACTTTGCGAGAAGCAAAATCTACATCATTTCAATTACTGAAAACCATTATGCCCGAAGCACGATCAAACGCATACAATGCAATTATTTGCATTGAATATAGTCCAAACGGGCGTCTGTGTGTTGTCTTTATTCCTCCGTCGCAAATACCGGTCCTCAATAGAACCCAACACGTTGTATCACCAACAAACAAACGATCATCCTTCCCTCGTCCTCGTGCATACGATTTACACAAGCAATATGGTGGCAGTACTCGAAAGTCTAGCGATCGTAACAATCGACAAATCGGCCGCAACTTGTTCAAACGTAAGCTTTAACGAGCCTCGACGACAGAATACGACGAGGACTGTTCGGCTGCTCGCCATCCGACCGGTCTCTCTCGTTCTTCGCATTGTCGCGCGCGCGCTCGCTTTTATCGTGTACAGGGCGTTTCAAAAACTTTGGATCGAAACTTTAGAAACATACGGACAACAGGTCACTGTTGCACACTCGTAATTGAAGTCGTCTCGCGAGCTGGGCAACGATCGATTACTTTACCGATCGTCGAAATAATAATAATTTTCATTAGCTTTTGCAATCGCCAGTCAGTAATTTCGAGCGATGATTTATATTCCGTTACTGTGTCGTTGAATTTAGAATAATTTGTCAAAGTTTATTAATTCTGCGATACATCTTTCGTGTAAGAATCAATATATTCTAACGGGCAATTTCAAAACTTTGATCGATCGGCAAGTTCTTTGTTAAAGTCCATCTTCATCAAGTCATACGGAAGATTGTGCCAATAACGACTCAAGAATTATACGGAGAATTATAGTAAATAATAATTATGTACCTAATCCTTACCGATACAATCACGATTAAAAGTGCAATCATTTTACAGTGATTATCAGTGATTGTTATCAAGTTATTAACTTTCGATTACAATGGTTTTGCTCATCTGCTTTATTCATTAATCGACTCATACTTGACAATGTCGATCGTTTAACCGATACTCGAACTCTTGTTTCAATGAATATACATGCTCCTAAAGTTCCCCCTCCCCGACGGCTAATTTGAAACAGCCTTACGTACGCAGCAAGGAGAAGAAAAAAAAAAAAAAAAGAAAAAAGAAAGATGGACGAGAGAAAGACGGAGAGAAAGCGAGTGAGCGAGCAGAGGGAAAAAGGGCAGGTGAGAAATGTTTTACGTGGCATACGCCATACGTGGGCGACTCGCTCGATTAATCTAACGCTGTGTTACACCTCCGTCCGTTATTACGGTTAAACTGCACCCTGGCTGGATGTAATACCATACCATACAGCGGTGTGCATGGGAGTGGAAAACGACAGGAGGAGAGAGTGGTGCCTGTGATGCTGAGGACGAGATCGTTCCTCTTCGTTACAGTCGACGAAGCAACAACCCTTCCTACCCTCTCTCTTGGTTCAGGCACAACAATTACACCTAATATCGTCGGCGAATTATTATTTCACGGCTTTCCGATAGAGAGACACCGGCGTTCGCTCGCGCGTCGACGATTTTACAGAGAGATAGATAGATAGAGAGAGAGAGAGAGAGAGAG